CATAATATGGGTGTGACAATGCGTCCGTTTAACATGATGAATAGAGCCCACCCAGCTCCTCAAAGAGCTTCGTTAGCGACTAACATGCCTGGGTCTGGTGAACAGGTCGTCTCTGCTGTTCCTAATCCTTCATTTCCTGCTCCAGCTGCTACTGGAGAGATACAGCATCCTCCCGGGGCTCCGTCACCATTTACTAATCATCCTTCACCTTATCATCCTCCTCCTTCTGTCCCTCCCCCTTCCTCTGTTCCTCCTCCTCAATCTTCCACTCAGCCTGCACAAGCTAACTCACCGAAAGCTCCACAGGTATTTTATCAGCGAATATATTAAAGAGATTTTTATAATTTTTTTCTGATACATGTAATTATGTTGTGTAGAAATTTTGAACTTATTCCGATCAAGTTTGGATTTTTTGTGAATTTTTAAAGTTGCTCTAAATGCCATGTACTGTATTGTAGTGCTTGTCAGCTCATGAAACTCATGCTGTTTAGCTCACTTAGCATGCTTTTTGATGAACCCTACCATATAACTGTACAGGAACTTGATTGTATGCATTATATTTTCAAATTGTTCATTTTTAGTCGGTCCCATCCCCTCGTGTCAGTCACCCCATACCATCCCCTGGTACCCCATGGAATCCCAACTCTCCTTCAAACACTGCTAGTCCCAGTCAACCTCCGCCACCCTCCAATCAGCCTAGCTTAACTCCTGAAGGATCAAATGCTGTTTTGCTTAAGTTGCAAGAGCTACAGTGTTACATTCCACTGCTGGCGAGGATGATTGATAGACTCCAGAGAGGAAATGAGAAGGACAAAGGGAGGACTGACCAACTGACGAAACTTACTAGCCTCTATAATGTACTCCAGAGCAAAAACATGAAGTAAGAGAGAGGGAGGAAAGTATTACTTTTTTATTCTCATAATTAGAGTTCCGCTACAGACTTTAGAAAAATGTCACATTGCATTGAAAAGGATATTTGAGAAGGACGCATCAAGTAAGTTGTATACATTAAAACTCCCGAAAATGATAATTATTCTTTTTAAGAATGATCTTTAAAATTTTAATGAAATAACTTATTTATCTTCATATATTAGAAACTTTTTTATGCAGAAATTATTTTGGCATCCCAAAATTTTATTATTTGTGAAGTTTCATACCTTCCGACTGTATTTATATTGTATTATTCAATGCTCTCATTCTTGTAGTTACATCACAGCCTCCACCAGGAACCACTCAAGCTCCTCCTCAATCACAACCCACCACTACCAGTACTGCAACAGTCACTACTAATGTTGAAACTAGTAATAATGCTGTTACAACCACTGCCTCGTCTGTGACGCCACCACGCCCTCCTGTCCCGCCCACTCCGCCTTTATCGGCCTCGATGTCTCTTCTTGACTTTAAAATCCTTCATTCTCCCCCTCCTCTCTCTTCTTACCTCCAACCATTGCTGGAGGATAGAGAGGAGACAGATCCATTGGATAGACTCCCTCTAAACAAGAAAAGAAAACTTGAGGAACAAGGTGAATGATATAATTTCATAATCTTTTACATCCTCTCTCCTATTTTATTATTTTTAGCTTCAAAGTCATTTATTTTAGGGATAAAGAGAGAACTAGTGGACATCAATAATTATACAATTAGGAAAGTCTCGCCCAAGAACAGCTTGGAAGTGAATGGGTCCCTTTGTCTTGAGTTCACATTAGGTGAGAGACAGAGAGAGAGAGGCAAAGAGGGAGAGACAGAGAGATGGAGAGAGTGATGAAGTCAATAGTTCTTCTTAATCTTTGATTTCTTTACATTAGTTGATGATAGTTTGCCAGCAGTTCCTCCACTAGTCATGACATTGTCACCAAACTATCCAAGAAGTTCGCCTCACTTGCAGTTTAACACAGACAGCATCTCTTCTCCTCCAATATTTTTAAAAGAGCTTGAAGAGACAGTTAGAGAGAGATTAGCAAAGTCATCACATCAGTATACCATATCTTATGCTTTGGAGACACTGGAGTCAACCCTGCTGCAGATTATGGCTAGATCA